CTCAGCTCATACGCCCGTTTCTCTACGACCGAAAGAATTGTGCTTCTGTGCTTCTGTGCCGTATCATGTGTACATGTAGAGCAAAAGCCTCTCGTTTTCATGCGTGGCCTTTACAGCTGAAAATTGAATTGGGAACGTTGCCGATGCATTTCTAAGTATTAATATGAGCTATGCGACGATTCAATGACGGCTTGAAGACGAGGAGATGTGAGCAAGTGAGATTTGCGTGCCGCAAGATTGAAGCTGCTGGGATGACAATGTGCAAACTTGATATTGAGGCATCCTTGTCGGGGTGCTACGGTACAGTGCGCAGTTCTGTGAAGAGAGGACCACAGAATTCCGCTCTACAGCGTTGTAATCCCTTGTTGCTTCGGATGGTTATGCTATGTACTTGTAGTAACTCGATATTTTGAGGCTGTGTTGTCGACAGTGGCATCGCTTCTTTCGTAGAAGAGGGTTGTTGTTCCTTGCTCCCTTGTTTACGGTACAGGGGGGTCGCGCAATAGTGCTACTTGGAGTAGTGCCTCCCACGCATTAGTGCTATGCAAAACGCCATGGCACGGTTATCATACGACCTACACGTGTTTATACACGTGTGGCTACAGTATTAGCAGAATTGCAGAGTCGGCGGTGCGACGGCGGGAAGCGGAATGACGAAACATTTTACCATGATCAAAACCTCACCGTTTTTGTCTATAAGCGGGCCCCAAGGCATAGCTTGCAGAGAGCCACATTGCAAACAACTTTTCAACAATAATGGTACCTCCCACTCAAGAAACACCCTCTCGTCTCAATCCCTCCCGACCTCCTCGCACGCCGCTCACCCTTAATGAAAAATTGAGGCAGGGCGCCTGCTCAATATCGGATACACCTGACTCATACTAAAGGCCTTTAACGATGGTTTCGGATGCTTGTGATGTCTGTAAATGATTGTGTTTTGCGCTTTCTGTATAGTGCCACTCACGCAATAGTGCCAAATGTCGAGGTCTGTCATGGGGTAGCACTATAGCGTGGGATCCCCTGTAGTCTCACGTTAAAACTGATAGATGCATCTGTTTAAAGAAGACCTTGATTCGTGTTTGTTTCTAATCGGCATACAAGAGAGGGCCAAAACTATTTTTGGGCAAGACAAGCAAAATGACTGTTCTGTAAACTTAAATTGATTTCGCCCAATTGAAATTAGAGAAGATGAACAAACACTACGACCACACACTACGATCACTTGAATTGCGGCGGCGCTTGCTTGTGGTCTGTGATGGAGTATTGGAGAACAAGAATTGACGGGCAGTATTTTCAATGACAAGTTGGTTTCAAGCGCACATCTGCCAACAGCTTTCGGCGTGCTTTTTTGCTGATAATTGCTGAATTCGAACCGGCAAGTAGGGACCGTTCTTGACTATAGCCTTATGAAGTTGGGAAGCGAGGGCTTATATGAATGTTTTTTCTGTACTTACAGTATTTGAGGTTGGAAAAATGAAGGAAGAAAACGAAAAAATTGGAATGTCCAACAAAAAAGCGTTACCGATAATGTGTAGGCGGGGAAGCCGCAGCCACCACCGAGATTTGAACCCGAGACCTCTTGATTACTAGTCAAGCGCTCTGCCAATTGAGCTATAGCGGCTACTGAGACATGGGTACTGTGCAGTTCCCGATGCGCAAGCCGGGTTTTAAATTTTGTTCCTCAATGAACTGTTTTCGGAGTATCCGCTCTTCATTACCCTGTGATGAGATGATTTCACCCTCTTATGTACTGTATCTACAGTTAGAGAAATAAATACACGCTCTCCATTAGCCTGTGATGAGATGAATTCACCTTCATATCCTCTAGTGTCTCTGTAAGGGCACCCCTCATGCATTGATAAAAGTAGAGAGCTTACGCAACATCTTGTGAGCTGAAAATCCGTCAAATCACTCGCAAGGAAAATTACACTGCTTTCAGTTGCCCGAAATTTGCGTCGTGCCTGTTTGCAAAGTAGCTGAAATGTGGCTATTTGCTCATGACACTCCTGTCATCATTTGAGGACAATTGTCTTGGGTTTTCGCGCGAAACATAAGAAACACCAATGACTCTTATAGGGAAGGCGCCATCTTCAACCGGCGTCTTGAGACTTTCGAACAGCTGCATCCACAAAAACATGGCTGAGGTTATACCTGTGGAAATAATGAACCAACCACGAAAAAAAGGCCACAACGAGGGAAGTATCTTCCAATGGAAGACCTGATTTTGGTGAGGGAGGTAGCAGCTCTGCGTGTTCACGCTGCTCCGTATGGAACGGTAAGGCAAACCTACGAACAGGTTGCTGCGAAGGTTAACCTTAACCCCCATATGGAGCAAAAAGTCACATGGAAGGCTGTGCAGGACCGCTACAACCGTTTAAAAGACGACTTCCAGGTTGAAGACAGACGCAATGCCGGTTTATCCGGTGTAGCCGGAGGCGAAAAGGGAGTTCTTTATCAATTGCTCTCACAAATGCAGGACGAAAGGCAGTCGTTTGTTGACGATAAGGGAAAGGATCGATTGGAAAAGCAAAAGAAAGAACAGGAGAAGGAGAGGCTGGGTAAGGCGGTAGTGGAAATGGCCTTGCTTCGTAGGTCCCAACGGACGAGCTCAGAAGATGGGACGGAAGACGAAGAGGATGATGGGGATGAGACGGCGTCTGGCGATGGAGAGCGAGCAAAGAAGCGAACGAAGAAGCGGCGTAAAACGCAGCACTATGGAGTAAGCTGTCGTGCCCTACAGCCACGTGTGGCGGCTGTAGGCAGAGCGACGCGCAATCGTACGCGTAAGGGAATTCGGGAGACCACCCGGTGGATGACCGGAACCGGGATCCGGGCGCGGCTTGCGCGGTGTAAAGGTAGAACTAGAGTCAGCAATAAAGAGGAAGAATTAGAGGAAAAACAGACTAACAGAACGGGCAGCACCGTAGTTAACGTAGCGGTCGCGCAGTTGGGTCGACGCGCGCGGGGAAGGCAGTTTGGATTCCAGGGGTGTAGATGGCTCAGTCGTTATGGGCGAGCCAGTACCGAGTCGAGGCTACAACCTGGAATCAAGAAACCAAGGTAAAAGACCCGAGGCTTCGTGCCTCTTTACTTTGATTATCGGGTTGACTATATAGTCCCCGTCGTCGTCATGACGAAGCTAAATTATACTGTAAATTAGAATAACTAGTATATAACGGGTGTAGCCCCGAGGGGACCAAGTAACGGCCCCTATAGGCCCGACAGGTGGCAGAGGGCTCGCACGTGTCCACCGGTATGGTCAGGCAGAGAGACAGTGGTCCACGTGTACCCGTGGCACACGTGGTGGCGGCGAGCGCGATTTTGGCGAGATTAGGACAGCTGTCCCGGTACAGAGTACAGTGCACTACATAAGCGGGGGGTTGTCGGTTTTTGCGGAGAAGCTTAGGGATGCAGATATGGCGCGTATCAACCTTGAGACAGAGCAGCTCAAGTTTGAGAAGGAGAAGTGGGCAGCTGAAAAAGAAGAACGCGAGACGGAACGTATAGAGCGCCGAAAGGAACGCGAGGACTCTCAGAAGATAGAGCTTAAGAAATTTGAGCTGATGCTTGATATCCTCAGAAACAAGAACTGAGGTAGCGGTCGGGTGTCTGTGGTGGTTTTCGTGTTTTAAAAGAGGGCTTCGGGAGCACTAGGCGCACGCATCCCAGCTCATTTCACCCTTCAGGTTGACGGTAGAGGGGAAAAGACTATTTCCTGTTAGTATCAAGTGAGAGTTCCCTCTCTCCGTCCTACATGTCTACATTCCGCACTCGTCGCAACGCTGTGCCGTCAATCCCTATAACGGAGCCCACCACACGCTGCAGCCGCCCGCGGCCTCCCACGTTGCCCATCGCCATATCCCTACCAGCAGTTCCTCCGTCCTTCATGTCACCACCGCCCTCGACATCCCCCACGCCCCCCTCTATATGCCACAGCCGCCCTCGACTTTTCCCACGCCCCCATGCCACCACCGCCCTCAGCTTCTGCTCTCAGCTTCCCGCATGCCCCCGGGCCCCGACACCTCCCGCCCTCACCCATCACAATTCACCCCTCTCGAGGTGCTTCCGCCCAGCACTGCCACCCGGCTCCGGCCCCCCTCCCCCACGCGCCCGCCCACGTCCTCCTGCCCCCCAACTGATTCACCGGCCGGCTCGCAGCGACCGCCTTCCGCGGTCCTCGCCCCTGCAGCGCAAGCGGTCCGCGCCGTCGCTCTTCACCACCCCCTTCCCGCCCGGTCACTTTCCGGCCCCTGCGCCCCGCGCTCAGCTCTCACCTCCCGCGCCCCGTCCGCGGCCCCTGTCGTCCCCCACCGCGTGCGCCGCTCGCGAAGGCGCTGCCGCCCGCGCCCACTCGCCCCTCCCAGTGACAGTCCCTTTCCCCCGCAGCTGCCGCTGTAGCTTCTGAGTTGATTCAGAATTTTCAAATAGCCTGCGGAATTTATGCCCAAAATTTGGATTTGCAGCGGAACGACAGATCTGGAAAATTTTACGCCACTATTATGCGCACCAATCAGAACGGCGGCTTCTACAGAGCGCACCAATCAGATCACCTGCACGTACAGACACCCACGGTTTTTTGTATGTACGATGGACGCCAGATTGGACGCCAGATTCCGCCCGCCGCGTCCAGCAATGCCCCGGACCGAATTAGGACACTTGTCCCGCAGCGGTTGGACGAGGCAGCGCCCGGGGAGAGCACGCCGAGCCCAACAACGCGACGAACACCGCTCGATGAGGCGCTGCTCCAACTGACCCTCTGCCTCAAACCGGCATGCGCCAAGCCAAGGCGAGCGGCGGGGCCTGCGCAAGTAGGTACGCGTACACCTCTCCGCCACATCACGAGGACAGGCGCAGGGCGGGCTCTGCTGCACGGTGCGCACACCCTGGCGCAAGATGTCGATGGTCTCATTTGCGCTGGAGCCCGTGACGGGCGAAGTGGCTTCCGCGACCGTCGGCGCGACGCTGATGACGGTGTGGGCGCAGAAGGCGCCGCCCAAGGCATGCGCCGTGTGCGCAGGGATGGGGTACTGGACGTTCGTCATTTGCGACGGCGATGGCTTCCGGAAGAACGGACGGGCCAATACCAAAGGCCCCGCGTGCGAGGGGCGCAGGAAGAGGCTGCGCGGGGACTGCACGGGGTCCAGGTTGGAAGCGTGCACGAATTACATAGGCTCCAGACGGAAGACAGAGGAGACGCATGTGGGGGGCAGGGCGCGGTGGCTTCTCCGGCATTCATAACAAATCCGTCCCCATTGATCTCAACGCTAACTACCGGACCCGTGTGTCCAACTACCGCATCCCCGACTTGTCCTCCCATCTCCACGTCCCACACCTGCACGCTCTCGTCCCACGATCTAGATACCACACGTCTTCCGTCCCCACTCATCGCAACGCAATCCACTCCAGCCCTATGACCGCGGAAACTTCTCAGTGCTTTCCTCTCCGATTTACTCCACAGCCTTAACATCCTGTCTTCACATCTGACAACAACATAACCGATCCTCTCAAATAAACGTGTGCAGGCAGCTCTTGTCACTCTCGGTTTTTCTGCAGTCGCTTCTGATGTGACACTTCCAATGCACATCCGAAGTTATGCCCTCAAACGCCCACCCCTTTCGCGCCTGCTTGCTTCAAGGTCCCCTGGGCCCTGGCTCTCTGTTTCAAACTCGCCTTCTAATCGAACCATCTTCGTCTCCTTCTCTCCAGATTGAGTGAGAACTGCTACTTCTGCCCCGGAGTCCGCCACTTGACATCCATACACATCACCCCTGAAGTTCATGCCGACTTGAATTTTTAGGGTACCGTAATATGGCAGAACAATCTGCTCCACCCACCTTCCTTCCGCATGCGCTACACACTCACTCATAGACCGTAACTACGGCTGTAGGGCGTATCCCTCGATTTGCTCTGGGGTCCTTCACACACAACCTGAATCGCGTGCCTGGTGCTTCAATCGCATATATAGTTGAAAGTAAATTCTAATACTACTTTTATCACGAAACGGTACACTTAGTCGGACGGCCCGCATCATCAAAAACCATGGCATCCACTGCATCCTCATTTACCCTTCTCCTCCCCCGACCTTCCCGTGTCCTCTTTTCTGCTTCAAGTCTCTACTCCCTTCACAGCTTCCTCTTATCGCCAAACCCCGCCTCTCCGTATCACTATCTACACCTATCGTCGAATCTCGCACCTTTTTAGTCAAGAAACTAACAAGGTGCGAGCTTCGATGTACTCTTGAAGTGAAGGAGGAGTGACACCGAAGTAACATGAGATTTGATTGGGGTAGCAGGAATTGTGTAGGTTGCACATGAGCATAGTGCCAAGATAAAGGAGGCCAACCGGCGATTCGCCAAGCCCATCTTCCTTTTTGTGTCACATACCGGGAAGTACAGTTTAACCTCTTTAAATATCCATTCCACTGTGACCCTGACCTTCGACATGGACGCATTGAACGCCCTCTGGTTAACGTGCAGGTTGCTTCATTGGAAGAGTACTTCCATGAAATTTCTCCAATTGTAACCAGAATCTCCAAACAAAACATAATGCTCCCCATTGACCTGTAGAATGCTGCCAAAGTTGCTCTCAATCCCACTGCATGAAAACATGAACCATTCATGGCGCCTCCCTTCTACAGGTCCGTAGGCATGTAGTATCATCCCGTCAGGTGAAGTAACGGCCTGGTACTTCAGGGCGTGTTTGCGCTTGTGGCCGTTATAAACAACGAGCTGCTTCATATTACCGCTGGGACGAGCAACACCGAGAACAGTGCCGTCCACAAACCCAATACAGTTTTTTAGAGCCGCGCCGCACTCGCTAATCCCGTCGCTAAATGGTCCTGCCCGTGTTTCCATATAGCTCTGTGGTACAGGGCTAAGAAGAAGGCCACTAGCCGACATAAAATGATCCATACCCCAGAAGATCTCAGAGGGCTGGGAGGGGTGCTTGCCAAATATATCGCAAATGTCCTCCCACCGATCCGGCACAGCCATGCGACATAGATTTATGCAGGTGGCTAGGATCGGGTGAACTGCATATCGATTTCGCTTTGTCAGAGACTGGTTAGACGGCCAGCCGAGAACCGGCACCAACGAACACACATCGACGATCAGAAACCTGAAGTGCCGCAGAGCCTCTCTGTCGCTGAAGCGATTAAAGTTAAACATAAAATCAGTTGCCGCGATACGTTGAGACCGGTCGAGCAGTTCGTTGCACTGCTCAGTCCAGATGTCATGTTCGATGGCAAGCGCTAAAAGTGTGGGCGATATGGAGAAAGAAGAGGGGTGTACGTGGCGGTTAAGATATCGCTTGCCTACAGGAGGAAGCAGGCTGCCGTAGACGGCAGCACGAGCGGTGCACGTCGTGAGTTTGAAGTTCTTTTGGGACATGGTGAGGGTTGGTGCTGCTACTCACAACCTCGATGCGAAATGCGCTAGCGTAATCTATCAGACAAATATGAGGAGTTGCACTGCGCGCAAAATCGTTGTACACGTGTACGCACAAGCTGTGCAGAATTCTGACAGAATTTTCATTTGCGTAAACTCACTATTACCCCGCCTGTGATGAGAACGACCACCCATGTGAATTTGTATCCGACTCCCCCAATAGCATGTGAAAAAAGATTACGTCGTATGAAAAAATATCCAAAGAGCGCATTTAATATAGGACCAGGATAATTGAAGGGATACAGACCATAGGAACCTCCTCTGCAGACTTTCATGGCCCTTCGACAGGCATAGAAACGCCATTTCCATGTACATGAAGAAGGCAACCGATGCTTGCAACCCTTAAGCATGGATCTAAAATCGCCTTCTATTTATGAATACCCAGCATGTTTCTCTAAAGAATGATGCCAAAGCACTCCGTTCTTGCTCGCAACTCCGTTCGTAATAACTCTTTGCACCTGCCTCCAATTGTATGGCCAAGGACGATTTCCGACCAATTCAAGGCTAATTCATGTAGGGCATGAGTCCACAGAAGCATGATAATCTGTGCGAGGCAGGGGTGGCAGAGGGTGTATCACTACTCTGATTCGCTAAGAACGATTTGGTAAGCATTAATACATACAAGGTCTGGCAGTTTTTTTGTCAGCAGCTTCTCATACCCATCCCGTCAAATCTGTGGTTAATGTTTGTTCAATTTCTCATCAAGGGACATCAAATTTGCACGTGCGCTGTGAACCGTTGTTCTTTGTGACGCTTACACTTACCGTCAACAAAATTCATACTGAAGTATATTTTGCTTTCTGGATGACAAAGAATAGTATCAACTTCGCGATTTTTTGATACTTGAGCCCCCGGTATGGATGCAGATCCATCAAACCTCAATTCCACATTCTGAACCAAGGACACACGTTACATTAGGCAAAAGTACTTGTTTTCACGTACGTCTCTCTCCACGATGCTGTCGCACCCAGCTTCCAATTCTGCCAGTGTTCTAGCATGATGGACGCAATAGTTTCTGTTGGGAACAATGTTTTTGGAGCAAACTTCATCCTTCTTTCGGCATACACAACTGGAGTTGAAAAAAATTTAAAACTTTTACGGGACAGCGAAGAACGCGAATACTGGATAGGATTTTCAGAGTCACCCCCTGAAGGTTTTGTAATCGGAGAAGGAAGGTAACACAGAAGGGTGTGGCACGAGACCTGAGCGTGATGGCCAAATACCTGAAGACGCAGACACAGCACGAAAGTGATCTTATGTGAAGAGGAGAAGAGGAGGTACTGAATTTCGGTACTCCGACAAGAGAGGATGTGCTTCGGCTGATGAAACCTTCAGCACTGAGCTCGTGCCGCTATCGAAAAACTTCGCAAAACATCGAAACCTCCAAAACCTCCTTGCGGTAGATTAGATTAAGAAGTGGGTGAAACGTAAGCATTTTGGCTGAAGGCAGTGTAATGAGCAAATGATGATCGCTACTAAGCTCTGGTTGAGCTTGTTTGTTTGCGCGCTTGCCTTCGTTGTTGGGAGTTCCAGAGACTTGCAGCGGCATATGCGAAAAATGACCGATTTGGACAGGTAAAAGGAAAGTCTGGGTTCTTTCTTTGCCCAGCTCGAGATATCGGCTAGGAGGAATAATTCTCCTCTCCCACGCCGTTTCGCAATTTCTTCGTGAACTTGGTGCTTCTGTTTGTTACTGACGGCGTGTCGCGCCATTGTGTGTGAAGGAGCTAGAATGAACGCCAAGACGAGAGACAGGGGATACAAAAATGCCAAAGTCTTGTTTAAGAAGCCAAGGCAATACAAAGTTGAAGGCAAAAACGGTAACTTTTTGTTACCGACATGGACAGTACCTTCAACATTTTTTGACCGTTGCTTGTCAAAAATAGAATATTAGAATTCGCATATTTTTATGAGGGGTCACATGATGCGCTGAGAGTGAATACTTGCTTCTGTCAAGGTGGTAAGAAACGCGCCGTAATGTTCCAGAAATGAGGTTCGCCGTCCCGTGGACCACCGCCCGTTTCATTTATCAAGGAATTGCTTGTAGGAGGTCCCTTACATCAAGGGTTCACTGTACCTACTAATATATGTCTGGAAAAGAAGCTTTTTTAAACTATCCTTAAACCGCATGTAAAATAACTTCGAAACCAAAAACGCCAGTTCAAAAAGCAACTTGGTGCTCAATCTGGATAATATTCTTAAGCTTTTTGTGCACTCAAAGCTCTGCTGTGTCCCGGTGTTATGCAAGATTCTATTGCCGAAACCAAGCACATTAAGGAAATAGTGCTCAAGGTAGCTTTTTGAATGTTCAATTTAATTTATACATATTTGCAAAAAGAGCTGTCCTCAGTCGAGTAGACACTAGAGAAATCCAGACAAGTAATTTTTGTGTATAAAACATTTGGCCTCAAACGAGATCAATTCTCGTTCAGGCATTAATTGGCGGCAACTCGTCTTCAAATTTCCTTGCATGTCTGCTTGATTGCATTCGCACATTCGCGCTCTCCGTTCCACTGCTTGAATAAAGGATGCGAAGTGTAGGAATGGATTCCAGAGCACTATCTGACACAACACACGCTTTCATTAACCAATAACCATGCTACTACTCGGCAACCCAAGAAATGGTTATTATTACATGTGGCAAAATGTGCTTCAGAACACAAGGCCCTGCCTCCGGCGAACAGTTAGATATCCTTTTCTTTCCCAATCTCGGAATATGACACTTCTGTGAAGTGCTGTTCGGGCAGACGCTACATCGGTTCATCATCCCAAACATCTCGAAGAAGAGCCTTACGTCTCCCTTGCAATTTTGATATGCGCGTGTCGCACCGAAGATGCCACTCGTCAACAATCAGGGCAAAACTGGTGATCCATGATCGGATCACCACTGTGTGCGTTGTGTGTGTGTTGAACATGCTGCGCAGCAGAGGGCGCCCTCATGTGAAATAGATGTTAACGATCAACAGTGT